GTTCGCTTCTTCCCGCATTTCCGGTTTGACATGCGTGCGAAAATGCATGCGCGTTCCGTTCCACCAGACGTAAAACGGTTTGCCCTGTTCATGCGCGCGCTTGATGAAATCGACAGCGCCGGCAATCGACTCCTCGTCGACGGTTTCCATCCGTTTCTTGGTAAGGGGGCCGGTGTCTTCGATAGTGCCGTCGGCCGAAGACTTGATCACCCCGCGAGGTCCGAAGGTTTCGCGGAAGGTGCGGCCGTCCGGCATGAGAGCATCCCCGGGATAATCCTCGTTTTCCGGCTCTTCTTCCGCATTCAGGTGATAGAGGTTGCCGAAGAATTCGTCGAACCCGTGGTTGGTGGGCAGGTGCTCGTCTTTGTCGCCAAGATGGTTCTTGCCGAACTGGCCTGTAACATAGCCTTGTGCTTTCAACAGACCGGCTATCGTCGGATCTTCTTCCTGCATGCCGAGATCGGCACCCGGCAATCCGACTTTCGACAGACCCGTACGAAACACGCTCTGCCCCATGATATAGGATGAACGTCCGGCCGTGCATGATTGCTCACCATAGTAGTCGGTGAACATCATGCCTTCCTTGGCAACGCGGTCTATGTTTGGCGTCTGGTATCCCATGAGGCCAAATGTGTAGGCGGAGATGTTGGATTGCCCGACATCGTCACCCCAGATGACAAGAATGTTGGGTTTGTCTCCCGATTGCGCCATCGCGGGCGCAAACTCGGCCAGCGCAAGCGCTCCGGCCGCACAAACAGCCAGTTTTGCGGCCAGCAGATTATACCTGAATTTCATGACTCATTCCTTCCCCTGCACACTGTTTGCGTTTCAAAAAAGTGAAACACACCAATGCCTTGGTTATCGGTAGAACAATCAGATGCTGAAAATTCCGCAGCGTCAATATTGAAGCTGGAATTTAATTTTCACCCATTGGCTTTTTCGACAATGGCATACGATTTCGGACCTCAAAGTGGCCCGAATGACGACAGGAAGTACACGCATGCGACGAATGGCTAGTGACTAAATTGACAGGGTTGCAATATCCCGCCGCGGGCTTGGCCGGCGCTCTGGCGTTCGGGATTAGCGGAATCGCCAGTGCAGAAATCATGAACGGAATTTGTCGACGGGATGCTGACGAGCTGATCCTCTCCAAGATCGAACATCCGCCGCGGAACGAAAGAGCCACGCTCCCGGGCGCGGCTTTCTTCGTAACCATTGCAGACATTGGCAGTGATCAGCACCAAGGTCGGCTCAGCAGACGTTGCCGCTGCACGGGGCATTGTCCGATCTACCGATCGCTTCAGCTATCAGGCTTCCAATCTGGTTGTGTCTCGAATGAGGCAACGTCTTCTGAAAGCCGATCCCAGTGTTGCCTGTCGCGTTCGAATATTACGACCTCAACTTCCAGGCCATTCGCATTATCCATCGAATCAAGCGTCATGGTTATGTGATCCGGAGTATGTGAGTTGGTGCCGAAAATTGGACTGCCACAGGTCGCGCAAGACGCCTTTGTTACTTCTGATCCTTTTGCTGAAATATACGTGAATTTATGCAAGTTCCCCTTCAACGATACTGACTTGGTATGGAACATGGCTCCGACGGTGTGACCAGTTCCACTCAAACGGCGACACTCATCACAGTGACACTGCGCGACAACAATCGGAGCACTATCTGCTTCGTATGATACTGCGCCACAAAGGCATTTGCCCGAGAAATTCATATCAGTCACCAGCCAGACAAGTTTAGGGACATCAGACAGTCGAAAGGAACAAAGCTAAAACAGTGCCGACATTTGTGCCGCACAGACCTTCTGATTTCGTCGTTGTACCGCGTTTCTTCGCCGTTCAAAAAAACTCGGCAATCGCAGAAGTCATGGAAAAGTGAGTGGCTGGGGAACCTGGATTCGAACCAGGACTAACGGAGTCAGAGTCCGTGGGTCTACCGTTAACCTATTCCCCAACAGCGCTTGGAAAATCCAGCTGCCAGACAGTCGGAAGCGTGTTTGTGATGACGCAGCCGAACAGTGAGCCGGATATACATCTATCATAATCTTGATTTCAAGTACCGTTTTCGACTTTTTTGTGAAATTTCAGCCGAGTGAGCGCCAATCCGCAACGCGAAGATTGTGAGCGCGAGAGCTTTTCCATTGGCTGGCAACCTGTTACAGTTTTGCCAACGACAGATATGGCCGTCAAAAGCGCCGCCCGACAGGCGTGCGCGTACGGCCTGAAAGGTAAAACGTGACTGAGTCAGGTCAGGAACCGCCCGGAACCGGGCGACGTACCGCTGACGAGTCCGGAGATAGCGGAACTCATTCTGAGTTCAAGGGACCAAACCGCCGGCGTCGCAAGCGCCGTGCAGGGCAGGGCCCGAAAGGTAATGTTGCAGGTCCTGAGGACAATACTGCGGCATTGCCTGGGGGAGCGGGAGAAATTCCGACCCAACGCGCGACCGGACCCGTTGAAAACACAAGCAGTGTGCAGGAAAGCCCTGCGCAGGGCAGCGGAGATTTATCCGGTTCGTCAAGACGCCGGAAAAAGCGGCGGCGGGGCCGCGCTACTGCGAACAACCATGCAGAAAGTGGTAATTCAGGCCGGAATCAACCGCATCCGCCGGGCGAAGCGCATCCGAATTCTGAAACGGTCACCAGTCCCAAAGGCAAAAAAGCTGCGAATCGACGCGGAAGGCGCCGTTGGCAAAACTCCAGGAATGCCAAGAACGGTCATTCTGATTCCGCTGAAAAGAGCAACGAAGAGACAAGGACCAAATTGGCGGGAACGGACGCGGAAACCGTTGTCAGGAGCGGGAAAGAGAAACACCGCCCGAGGGAAACAGACATCCGCCTGCCGGTACGTGGTGCTGAAGATGGCAGTCAACAGAAACGTGGACACCATGCCAGACGTCCGAGACACGGGCAGCACAACGCCCCCCTATATGCGGCGCTCGATCTGGGAACGAACAACTGCCGATTGTTGATTGCACGCCCTGAAGAACGGGGCTTCAGGGTCGTGGATGCCTATTCGCGTATCGTCAGGTTGGGCGAAGGGGTCGGATCCAACAAACTTCTGAGTTCAGCGGCAATGGATCGCGCGATAGATGCATTGGCCAATTGTCACAGGAAGCTCGCCGATCGGGGTGTCATGCGCTCCCGTCTCATTGCCACGGAAGCCTGCCGGGCCGCGGAAAATGGAGCTGAATTCATCGAAAGGGTCAAGGCGGAGACCGGGCTTGCCCTTGAAGTTGTCAACCGGGAAACCGAAGCCCGGCTCGCTGTTGCCGGCTGCGCATCGCTTGTCGATCATGAAGCTGACGGTGTTATCCTGTTTGATATCGGCGGCGGTTCTTCCGAAATCGTCTGGCTGGATCTTCGAAATCGGTGCGGTGCTCGCGGCTATGCCTTGACCCGTTTCATCCGGTCCTGGATTTCACTTCCGGTCGGAGTGGTCAATCTCGCCGAACGCCATGGTGGCGTCCATGTAACGCCTGATATCTTCGAAGCGATGGTTGAAGATGCGGCGGAACACCTGGCTTCCTTCAGCCTGGCCAACAATCTGGCCGAAGCGATTTCGTCCGGACGCGTGCACATGCTCGGAACCTCCGGAACGGTAACGACACTGGCCGGCGTTCATCTTGGGCTGAGGCGGTATGACCGCCGACGTGTCGACGGGACGTGGCTCGATGACATTGATGTGTCGAAGATGATTGATCAACTGCGCGACATGCCCTATGAGGCGCGCGTGGAGAACCCATGTATTGGTGCCGATAGGGCTGACCTCGTTCTTGCGGGATGCGCAATTCTCGAGGCGATCCGGCGACGTTGGACCTGCTCCAGACTTCGCGTTGCCGACAGGGGCCTGCGTGAGGGCATATTGACAGAATTGATGGCTGCCGATGGCGTCTGGGCGCATAGAAAACCCGGAAGGCGCCCGGAGAGAAGGCGCCAGAGGAACAGAACATGAGCCGTTCGAAAAAGGGAACCGGCGATCGCGGTCTTCACGTCAAGGTCAAAACGTCGGCCGGCCGGCGAGAGTCGTCAACCCGCTGGCTAGAGCGTCAGCTGAATGATCCCTATGTTCGCCGCGCAAGGGCAGACGGCTATCGATCACGGGCAGCCTACAAGCTGATTGAAATCGACGACAAGCACAAGCTGCTGAAACCCGGCTATCGCGTGGTCGATCTCGGCTGTGCACCGGGCGGATGGTGCCAGGTGGCCGTCGAACGGGTTCAGTCAAGCGTCGAGGCGCCCAAGGTCGTGGGAATTGACTATCTCGACATGGATCATGTGCGTGGCACCACGTTCCTGAAAAAAGACTTTCTCGACGATGATGCACCTGCGGCCTTGATGGAGGCACTAGGCGGCAACAGGCCGGACGTTGTGCTTTCGGACATGGCGGCACCGACCACGGGACACAAGCAGACAGACCATTTGCGCACGACCCACCTTTTTGAGATTGCAATCGATTTTGCCAGACGGAATCTCGTTCCCGGCGGATCCTTTCTTTCAAAGGTGTTTCGCGGCGGCACGGAAAATGCGTTGCTTCAGGACCTGAAGCGTGACTTCAAGACCGTTGCGCATTTGAAACCGCCTGCGAGCAGGAAGGAAAGCCCGGAACTGTATGTGATTGCAAAGGGGTTTCGAGGCAGCGACCTCGATCCGGATTGATACCGGCAAGCGAGAGGACTGCGAATTCCTGTCCAAGTTGTGAAGGACGGCTCTTTTCTTTCTGTCACCTGCGTGTTATTGACCCGCGCCAACTTCTCCGGCACAGCCGAAGCGACTCGTCAGACGCAGCCTTCACCCGCAAGACTGCGTCTCTAGCTATTTTAAAGGGGAATTGGCCATGGCGTCTTTCTTTGTCCCACCAACCGGACAGCAGGCTCTGACTTTCGACGATGTCCTTCTGATCCCTGGCCATTCGGAAGTCATGCCAGGTGAAGTAGACCTGAAAACAAGGGTTACTCGCGAGCTGGAACTCAATATTCCTATCCTGTCTTCTGCCATGGACACCGTGACGGAAGGACGCCTGGCAATTGCGATGGCGCAAGCCGGCGGCATTGGCGTCATCCACCGGAACCTCACACTGGACCGACAGGCCGAAGAAGTCCGGATGGTCAAGAAATTCGAATCCGGCATGGTCGTAAACCCGCTTGTCATCGGGCCCGAAGCGACATTGCAAGATGCCAATGACCTGATGAAACGGTTCGGCATCTCCGGTGTTCCTGTTGTGGAAAACGGCGGTTCCGGAGGCCAGGTTGCCGGTAAGCTCGTCGGCATCCTGACCAATCGGGACGTTCGTTTTGCCTCCGACCGGCAGCAGAAAATCCACGAACTGATGACCAGTGAAAACCTGGTCACCGTCAGCGACAACGTTAGTCAGGAAGATGCAAAGCGCCTGCTGCATCAAAACAGGATTGAAAAACTGCTGGTAGTCGATTCAGACAACAACTGCATCGGCCTTATCACCGTGAAGGATATGGAGAAGGCCAAACTCAATCCGAATGCCTCCAAGGACGCACAGGGCAGGCTTCGCGTTGCGGCAGCCACCAGTGTCGGCGAGGAAGGTTTTGCAAGGGCGGAACGTCTGGTTGATGCCGGTGTCGACATGGTCGTGGTCGATACGGCGCATGGCCACTCCCAGAAGGTTCTGGACATGGTGGGCCGCGTGAAGAAACTGTCCAATTCGGTGCAGGTTCTGGCGGGAAACGTTGCAACGTCCGAAGGGACAAAGGCGTTGATCGACGCCGGCGCAGACGCGGTCAAGGTCGGGATCGGACCTGGCTCCATCTGTACGACACGGATCGTGGCGGGAGTGGGTGTGCCCCAGCTCACGGCGATCATGGAATCGGTCAACGAGGCGGAAAAGCAGGGTGTGCCGGTGGTCGCTGATGGAGGCATCAAGTATTCCGGTGATCTTGCCAAGGCAATCGCCGCCGGGGCCGCGTCCGCCATGGTCGGATCCCTTCTGGCGGGCACCGAGGAAAGCCCGGGCGAGGTCTATCTTCACCAGGGCCGCTCCTACAAGTCCTATCGCGGCATGGGGTCAGTCGGTGCCATGGCGCGTGGGTCTGCGGATCGTTACTTCCAGGCTGAAGTCAGGGACAGTCTCAAGCTTGTTCCTGAAGGTATTGAAGGGCAGGTGCCCTACAAGGGAGCTCTCGGCAGTGTCTTGCACCAGCTTGCCGGTGGCCTGCGCGCTGCCATGGGATATGTCGGCGGCAAGAATATTCTGGATTATCAGGAAAAGGCGCGCTTTGTGCGAATTTCCGGCGCCGGATTGCGGGAAAGCCATGCACATGACGTGACAATCACGCGCGAAAGTCCGAATTATCCGTCAAACGTTTGAAATTGAATTGTTGGTCCTTGTTCAAATCGCGGACCGTACCCGGGGATCGACATGAAAGATGGCGGACGCCTTGCGGCTGCAATTGAAGTCCTGACAGAAATAGAAAGCCGGCACAGACCGGCACAGGTCGCCTTGAAGGACTGGGGCAATTCCCACAGATTTGCAGGTTCGGGCGACCGCACCGCGATCGGGAACCTCGTATTTGATGCCTTGCGGAACAGGGCATCGCTTGCTGCGCGAATGGCAAGCGACCTGCCGCGGGCCATTACGCTCGCGACTTATGCGGTAACCTGGCAAAAAGGCATCGAAGCCCTGTCGGATGCACTTGTGCAGGACCGCCACGCGCCTGAAGAACTCACAGAAGAGGAAATTGCCCGGCTTGAGGATAGCTTCGACCTGGAAATGTCAGCGTCAGATCGGGCAGACGTTCCTGAGTGGTTGTGGCCTGAATTCGTAGCTGCCTTCAATGACAGTGCCGTGGAAGAGGGGGGCGCGCTTGCCACACGTGCGCCCGTGGATCTGAGAACCAACACCTTGAAGGCGGACCGGGAAAAGGTCTTGAAACGCCTCAGCCATACGGGCGCGGTTGTTGCCGGTATTTCGCCGGAAGGCATCCGCATCGAGGCAAAGCCCGGGCTCGGGCGCATGCCCCACGTCCAGGCAGAGGAAGGATACCGGAAAGGCTGGTTCGAGCTGCAGGACGAGGCCAGTCAATTGGCGGCAATTCTGGCTCAGGCTAGTCCGGGTGAACAGGTTCTGGATTATTGTGCGGGCGGTGGCGGCAAAACGCTTGCTCTCGCAGCATCGATGCAGAACAGGGGGCAACTCTACGCATACGACGCGGACAGGCTGCGCCTCGCGCCAATTCATGAACGCCTCCAGCGCGCGGGTGCGCGGAATATCCAGGTCAGGGATCCGGCGAGCACGACACTTGCGGATCTGGAAGGTCAGATGGACCTGGTGTTCATCGACGCCCCTTGCACAGGCACCGGCGTCTGGCGCCGCAGACCGGACTCAAAATGGCGTCTGACGGACAAGTCACTTGCTGCCCGTGTCGAAGATCAGCAACACGTTCTCCAGAACGCGAGCAGGTACGTCAAACCCGGCGGCCGGATGGTCTATGTGACCTGCTCCGTGTTGCCCCGGGAAAACCAGGAACAGGTGAAATGGTTCCTGGGGGAAAACAGGGATTTTGAATCAAGGTCCGTTATCGACAGCTGGAACAAGTTGTTGCCGTCGCGACCGCAGCCGAAATACGTTTCTGAGCGCGGTGAAATCCTGTTGACGCCTGCGTCTACCGGTACGGACGGTTTCTTCGTTGCCATGTTTGAGCGAGCAGCGCCTTAACAGTTTCTGAATGGCCTTTCGGGGAGGTTCCTCCGGATGTCACGTGCGATCGCGGCGTTGTAGCCCAAGTATGTTGGGTTCCGGACGATCGTCCGGCCGGGCAACATCAGAAGGTCGCGACTGTTCGCTTTTCACCGTTTCGGACACCGGTCGCAGGCTCCCGGCTTCAGATTGAGCTGGTGCTGCCGGCAAGGTTTCTTCGTAGCCTTCCGACTGGGGCCGTTCCGATGAAGATACGTTCTCGCGCTGATGGCCGATCGAAGAAGCGACAAGGTTTTCAGCAACCTTTCTGACGCGATCGTCCAGGCCTCTTCCAGCACTCAGGCCTGTCAGGACCGATCGGGCTTCTTCGGCATATTTGAGAGAGGCGAGAGCAGCTCCTAGCGCATTGAGTGGTTCCTGGGCGCCTTCATTGAGGTCATGCGCCTCAAGTGCATACCTGAGTGCAGCGGAGAAGTTGCCGAGTTTGCGGCTAAGGACACTGAGACGGACAAGGCAGGACAGGGATGCGGGACTGAGCTTGAGTGCTGCCTCGGCGGCCTCATAGGCGTCATCCGCGGCTCCTTTTCCTGCAAGTGCATCCGAAAGGAGCTCAAGAGAAAGAGGGTCTGCGGGTGAAATGGAATTTGCCCGGATTGTAAGCTCGATGACCTCGTCATAGCGCTTGCGGCGGAACAGGACCTCAGAAAGACCGAGCAATGCAGGCAAATGATCCGGATCGACCTTAAGCGCCTTGCGGAAAGCTGCAATCGCAGCAGCGCTTTGTCCTGTTTTTGCTTGTGTTTCTGCAAAAAGTGCGAGAACGGCCGGTGAGCCAGGCAACAGATGAACCAGCCGTTTTGCCGTTTCTGCTGCCTCGTGGGGTCTATCGTCCCGAATGCACACACTTGCGTAGCCGTAGAGCGCATTTCTGTTGTCGGGAACCAGCGTGAGTACGTCGCGGAAATTCAGACCTGCATTTTCCGTGTCGCCCATGAGAAGTTGGCAATTGCCGAGACTCGCACGGGCGTCCAGATTGTCCGGTTCTGTAAAGACGATACGGCGAAGTTGGGACTGCGCTTCCTCAAGATAGCCGGCCTGCAGAAGAGCGGATGCCGTTCGGTAGGCGATTTCGGAATCCCGTGGCGCGAGTTCCTGTGCTCTCAGATAGGAGACCAGCGCCTTGTCCAGCTCACCGGACTTTTCCAGAGCAATAGCTTCTTCGAATGTTTCACGAGCAGTTGCGGTCATATAAGTTCCGACTTTTAGAAGACCTGACCAATGCCCGATCCTGTGGTGGGTGCAGTTGCCGTTTGGCCGACTTTAGTGGACCAGTTCGGCAGGGGTCAAAACGGAAATTTGCCCGTACACAGCTTGTGGGCAGTAAACGGGACGCGGTCCGGACGGTTCCAGCGATCAGAATCGACCCGATCATGTCATAAAAATCCTGTGCGACACGCCACAACGCTAAAAATCCGGGTTCATTTTGCAAAAAAGACCGGGTAGAAGCTGGCCATGACACATCATGATCGCCTTCTCATTATCGATTTCGGTTCCCAGGTGACCCAGCTCATTGCCCGTCGCCTGCGAGAGCTGAGTGTTTACTGCGAAATTCATCCATTTCAGAATGTCAACGAATCTTTTCTGACGGAGTTCGCGCCCAAAGCGGTGATCTTGTCTGGCGGCCCTTCCTCGGTCTTCGCTGAAGGCGCACCCATGCCTCCCGATTCGGTCTTCGACCTGGGCATTCCGATCCTCGGTATCTGCTATGGCCAGCAGGTGATGATGCACTGTCTGGGGGGAAAGTGGAAAGGGGACACGGGACCGCTGAATTCGGCCGCGCCTTCGTCACCCCGAAAGGCTCAGACCTGGCGCTTCTGGAAGGCTGGTTCGCAGATGACAGGGAACAGGTCTGGATGAGCCACGGCGACCACGTCAGCGAGATCGCTCCAGGCTTCGATGTCTACGGAACGTCACCGAATGCGCCATTTGCAATTACTGCAGACACCGAGCGCAATTTCTTTGCCGTACAGTTTCATCCCGAGGTGCATCACACGCCGAACGGCAAGAAGCTCTATGAAAACTTCGTGCGTCTTGCAGGCTTCAAGGGCGACTGGACCATGGGAGCCTACCGGGACGACGCGATCGCCAAGATCCGTGATCAGGTTGGCGACAGGAAAGTCATTTGCGGTCTGTCCGGTGGTGTTGACAGTTCGGTGGCCGCCGTCCTGATCCACGAAGCCATCGGCGATCAGTTGACCTGCGTCTTCGTCGATCACGGGCTGCTGCGTTTGAACGAAGCAGATGAAGTGGTGTCCATGTTCCGGGACAACTACAATATTCCATTGATCCACGCCGATGAAGCCGACCTCTTTCTGAACGCGCTGGAGGGCGTCTCCGATCCGGAGCAAAAGCGAAAGACAATCGGTAAACTGTTCATCGATGTCTTTCAGAAATATGCCAACGATATCGATGGAGCCGAATTCCTCGCTCAGGGAACTCTTTATCCGGATGTCATTGAAAGCGTGAGTTTCTCAGGCGGGCCTTCCGTCACCATCAAGTCTCACCACAATGTCGGCGGTTTGCCGGAAAAGATGGGATTGAAACTGGTGGAACCCCTGCGCGAGCTGTTCAAGGATGAGGTGAGGGCGCTTGGCCGCGAGCTTGGTTTGCCGGCGAGTTTCATCGGCCGCCACCCGTTTCCCGGTCCTGGACTTGCGATCCGCTGTCCGGGAGAAATCACGCGAGAAAAGCTCGAAATCCTGCGCAAGGCCGATGCCGTTTATATCGATCAGATTCGCAAGCACGGCCTGTACGATGAAATCTGGCAGGCGTTTGTCGCCATCTTGCCCGTCCGCACCGTTGGAGTCATGGGTGACGGGCGCACATACGATTATGCCTGCGCTCTCAGAGCCGTAACGTCCGTCGATGGCATGACGGCAGATTATTATCCTTTCACGCACGAGTTTTTGGGTGAAACGGCAACCCGGATCATCAACGAGGTGCAGGGTATCAACCGAGTGACCTACGACATCACCTCAAAGCCTCCCGGCACTATTGAGTGGGAGTGAGACCCGAATTGCCAATCGACGCCGCGGGCGACAGAATTTGTTTGATCAAAGTCCCTTTGGAAGTATTCGTTAATTGCCAAACATGAAAATGAGCAGGTCTTATTTAAATCGAGCTGTTGGAATTTTTTGAATATGTACGAGGAAGTAATCGAAAAATACAAAAATACCGTCAAAGGCAGTGAAAACTTGCACTTCAATGCAAAGCATTACCTCACAATGCATTCGCATGCCGCAAGTCTCTCAAATCCGACGATTCTTGAACTAGGTGTTCAGTCCGGAAATTCAACGAAGTTGTTTTTGAATGCATTGGGCGACAGCCAAAAAGGCGCACTTGTGTCCGTTGATATTGATAACTGCTCTGGCGTTGCATCCTCTTCTAAGTGGACATTCATAAGATCAGATTCAGCTGACGTAGAGAACATAGTGACCGAAGCGCCCATTCTTAAAGATGGGATAGACATTCTATTCATTGACTCGTTGCACACGACGAAACACGTCTACAAAGAGCTTTACGGATTTTTTCCTTACATCAAGAAAGGCGGCGTGATTTTTTTCGACGACATCGATAGCGCACCCTATTGCGAGGGCAGCGAGTTGGACAGTTATTATGTAGAGCTTGAGAACCGACGCATTCTGAAGTTCATAAACTGTGTTTTCGAAGCCAACATGCAACAACTCGATCTGACAATTTATCGAGGGTGGACCGGTCTTGGAAGGTTGGACAAGCGCAGTGAATTGTACTCGGAACTGTTGCCACCGCAATCATTGAAAAGACGCAAGAGCAAAAAGCTCTGGAAAATCAAACGTTCGCTCAAGAAACGAAATCTATGGCGTTGGTAGTCAATATATTCGTCGTTAGGCAGACATATGGTTAGCTATGGAGAGTTTCGACTTCGCAAATGGATCCTCAGGAAAAACTAACACCTGACTGCACATCCTGCGCAGCCCTTTGCTGCGTTGTGTTTGCGTTCGACAAGTCAGAATCCTTCGGTATCGACAAGGATGCTTGTGAGGTTTGTCCAAATCTGGACGCTACAGACAGATGCAGCATCTTTGACAAGAGGGAAGACCTGGGATTCAGAGGATGCGTTTCATATGATTGTCACGGTGCTGGACAACGTGTAACGAACGAAGTCTTCAAAGGTATCGGATGGCGGCAAGATCCAGCACTTAAGGAGCAAATGGGAAGTGCACTGTCCGTCTTGCGCCGAATTCATGAAATGCTCTTGCTGCTTGACTCGGCTAAGACATTTCCCTTGCACGACAGGGAATTGTTGGAGCTCGAATTACTGAGAAGTATTCTCGATCCGGAAACGGCCTGGACAGAAAAGGCGCTCGAGGAATTTCCCATGCTTGCAACCAACAAGCGGGTGAGCGACTTTCTGCGGTCGCTGCAACATCACGTGACCGCAAGGCCTACTGCGCGCACCTGATGCAAAAAGCTGCGGCCGGATCGACTTTGAGGCGCATTTCGGCGATCTCCTCTCCGCACTCGACGCAAAATCCGTATTCCCCCTCTTCAATGCGGCTAAGAGCCGCTGCAATTTTCTGAATGTCCGCCCGACGTTGCCGCTCGGACGCTTGAGCCATCGCCTGACCCTGCAGGGCATCCATACGTGACAACCGACCGACCGATTGTTGGTCAAGTGTTACCGTTGCCCGCGCCTCCTCGGAAATTTCGCTATAGGCTTCAAGTTCGGCCTTGAGCTTGGTCAGTATTTTTCGAACGCCATCTTCATCAACCGGCATGACCTTCCTCCGGTATTGAGAATGAAGAAGTCCGTTGAAACCTGCAACCCGCATGAAATTCCGCAACCCTCAATGTTGTTGCTGACAAGATCGAATTTCATATCCTCTTCGAGAAAGTGAAATCTCGTACTCCACTGTTACGAATACGGTGATGACGCAGTCGTGACTTTGATCTCGTTGCGAGCGTTTGCGAAGATGCCG